GAGTCCTTGTTCAGCAGCTGCTCCTCCACTGACTCTGGACCTTTCTGGTTCTCAATGGCCCGTTGTATGGCATGTATTCCCAGGGGTTTCCCCATGTTTGAATGGTTCACACACGTCTGTGGGTGGGCATCTGCAGCTGGTGCATGGTGGGCCAATTGTGTCATTGTTTCTCTGTGTGGTGGTAGTTCTCAATTGAGAGGCGGTGGCCGGACTGAGGGCCAGTGCGCAACAGCGCTCGCTGCCGCGTGGCTCCCCCTGTGCCAGCAGCCCTCCCTCCGGGCGCCTACGAGGCAGGGAGTGAGCCAGCCGGAAGACTGGCGCTCCATGACACATAGAATTAAAGGTGCTTTCCAGTGCATCAATATCCCCTGCAACTGATTACATAATGGACACTTTTGTTTTCATCATATTATGTAATCTTCACAATGTCCTTGTGAGAGAATAGGTGTTATTTGCATTTCTACAGAGAAGTAACAGAGGCTTACACTGGTACACATAGGGGTTGTGATCCAAACTTCAGTTTTATCATAGTATTCCATCACTGCTATGGGCCAGATTCCATAGCAGGTGATGTTTCCTTGACCTGTAATGTTCTTCCTTTTTGGTCTGCTCATCCTTTATGGTGAGAAGGAATAAGCATTCATAGAGACCCTACTGTGGCAAACCCTACGTTAGTAGTTTTACATAAATTATCTAATTTAATGAGGCCCTATGAGAGGTATAAGAAAGTTGCATTAATCTGCCCAGGTTCAGTAATATGACCAAAAGTATGTAATTAAAATGTGATAGAGAAGGAACTTTATCTGACACCAACAATCACATGTACCCTTGTCAGTGGCTCCTTGCTAATGTCCTCTGAGCCATGTCAAATTCAGGGTTAGAAGTATCTGTGATTGTGAACAATTCTATTGCATGATGGTGAAATTGACCCAGCCTAGGAGGTTCTGGGAATGTCCTCACTCTTGCCAGTTCAGCACTTGTTCTGTGGATGGAGCCTATCAGATTTAGGATAACTGGAATTCTCAAACTGGGATGAACTAGAGATGTCTGCTGATCCTATGTCCCAAGACGTGGATTTCTGTTTAGCAGTCTAGACTACTCCCTGGCTTTCTGTTCATCTGTTAAATTATGTCATAAAGTTTCCTGTGTACAGAAAAGGGTGGGAGCTAGGAGAAGCGCAGCATGATTAAGTCCCAGTTTTCTTGGATCACATAGTCAAAAACTGCTGTTGTTCTGATCCACATTTTATTGTCCATTTCCTTCTTAGCATATAGAGAGCTGCCCCAGGTCATGAAAAATAATACGTTCCGTGAAGTGAAACATAACAGATATGACAAAGTAACTAAAAATAAAAGACATCAACAATCTTCTTTTATTAAAATGTTTAGCTGGATGCCTCAGAACGCTCATGAGGCCATCCTTGGACACCTGCACTGAACTGAACTGGGAGAGGAATATTTAGGACAGATGAGGAAGATATTTGGCACACTGAACAAAAGAGCTTCTTCAGGCTCAGGGAGTAGAATGAGAATTGGCATGATCATTTTGGAGAATACACAGAATCACACAGAAGTAGAGTTTTCACAGTACAATATATGTCAGGGGACTAGAAGGCTGATAAATAGCACTTGCATTTATAGGGAAAAGTGAGAACAAATCAGAGAATTCAAAGGAAAATAGAAAGTTAATTCAAGTAGGAAAGAGAAAAAATCGAAATAGGCTCCACTATTTGTAAATATAAAGGAAACAAGTGAAAACATAACAGAAATCAGTGTGATTTATAGGAATATAAAGTTACTTTTATAGCAAAGCCCTTTTCATTGCTAGGAAACTCCTGGCTCAGTACTAACTGTGGACAGTCCACCCCCTCACAGCTGTATTTAGTTGTTCTTTGCTTTTGGCTTGAAACTGGCATCCTGGAGAGGAATCCAGCACTGCCTCAGAGTTCTGCAAGATGGGCCAATGTTAGATATTGGAGTTCATCCTTTAATTTATTCTGCTGATTCACAGGGTAGAACAGTGACTGGGAGGACACATGTTAGAGTTTTGGCTATGAGAGATTAATAAGAAATTAAAGTGATTCCAACAACTTGAGGCAATTTGGAAACTCCCAGTCTCTTAGGATAAAACATATAATCCTATTTAGAAATTCCTGATGTGATCACAGATGTGAGAGTTGTGTTTCTCACATTACCCATTAATTAAGAAAGACATAATCCAAAGTTAATTAAGTAGTAATTTATTATAAAAGTTTTTATTTCATTAACCTTTCACAATATGAATAATAATATCCATCCATTCAACACAATAAAGCGATATTTTCCACTGGCTGCTGAAAACCAAGGAAATAACTCTGATCAAAGTAGCAACTCACTGTGGAGTGACCTACCACTGAAATAATTTATTGATTCCAGTAGATTTTTATATTGTGGGGTTAGTTGTTTTGTTAAGCTTGATGGAAAACAGATACAACCAGAGTAGAGGAAGTGAATATGTTTTGCACCTTCCTGACAATCAGAAATTCACTATGGTTTTTCTTTTCATAGGCTCACGCCCAAATCTGGCATCTCTACAATACTTCCTTCCGTCCAACTCAGGGAGGCCAGGTGTCCATTGCCCTAGGTTCCCACTGGATCAATCCTCGAAGAATGACTGACCACAATATCAAAGAATGTCAAAAATCTCTTGACTTTGTCCTAGGCTGGTTTGCCAAACCCATATTTATTGATGGTGATTATCCCAATAGCATGAAGAGTAACCTTTCATCTCTTCTGCCTGATTTTACTGAGTCTGAGAAAAAGTTTATCAAGGGGACAGCTGACTTTTTTTCACTGTCCTTTGGACCAACGTTGAGTTTTCAACTATTGGAGCCCCACATGAAGTTTCACCAACTAGAATCTCCCAGCCTGCGGCAACTCCTCTCCTGGATTGACCTGGAATATAATCATCCTCAAATATTTATTGTGGAAAATGGCTGGTTTGTCTCAGGGACCACTAAGAGAGATGATGCCAAATATATGTATTACCTGAAAAAGTTCATAATGGAAACCTTGAAAGGTAAGATTTTTGAGTAAAATTCTCATTCCCTGCCAAAATCCATTGGAAAAACAATCTTTAAGCTTATTTACATTGTACTATGTGAATTTATATTTTTAAACACAATGTAGAAATTCAGTTTGGCAATGGTATGAATGTACTTATGTAGCTCCTTTCTCATTTGGGGCTTTGAGGAGCCCAAGTTAATTTTTAAAACTCACTTGTAAAAAGAAACTGGATTAATGTTTGAAGTCACTTGACTTGCAGAGATACTAATCCAGATTTTTTGATTATATTAAATGTAATAGAAATCTAAGGATAGCTATCTCTCAGTACATGTTTTAAAGTTCTTATTGCTTTGTGTGAATGAAGCACTTTTTTTAAAAAAAAAGGACTACCTACACTATCTGGAGAAAATAATAGCTCATATTTTAAAATACTTTATTCATTTATTGCATCAGGCATAATTCTAGGTGTTTAGGATGAAAAGTAGAACGAGACACCTTCCTAGACCTGTAGAAGCCCACTGGGGAAAAATATATCACATCTCAAAAATCCAAATAAAATCCTATTGGAAATAAGCTTATTTGTGAAGGTACTTATTTGCAGAGATGTGGTTAGAGCCTTTTATCAATAAGAAGAATCAATGTCTCTGTCCCACAGGAAGAGTTATACATGCTACCCTCAGATGCTCTTGAATCATGCATGAGGTGAGTAGCCAGGATAGGGTCATGCCGCTCCTGTCGTCTCTTTTCTTTGCAGCCATCAGGCTGGATGGAGTTGACGTCATTGGGTACACAGCATGGTCCCTCATGGATGGTTTCGAGTGGCACAGAGGCTACAGCATCCGACGTGGGCTCTTCTACGTGGACTTTTTGAGCCAGGAGAAGAAGTTGTTGCCAAAGTCTTCAGCCTTGTTCTACCAAAAGCTGATAGAGAACAATGGCTTCCCTCCTTTACCTGAAAACCAACCCCTAGAAGGGACATTTCCCTGTGACTTTGCTTGGGGAGTTGTTGACAACTACGTTCAAGTAAGTCAGCTGACAAAACCAATCAGCAGTGTCACCAAGCCCTATTGCTAGTAAGTAGAGCTTCCTCATTAGGCTCTTGTCACGGCACACTGTCCCTCTCTGGGCCACACACAGAGCTCCTTGAGCACACAGAGTACACAACTGGCAAGGCTGCTCTTTCTCTCCAAAAATCACCCAGTCTTCCTCTTGTACTCTGAATTAAATCCAAAGGGAAAGAAATTGGCAATATTAAGAATGCTTTATACAAAAATGTATAAAAACATGAATATTTAAGATCAGACAATGCAGTTAAAAGATAAGAACACTCTTAATATTGTGGTTTTCAATCCTTCTTAAAGCAGCTGTGTTTTTCATCAAAAAAGGTATAACATGAAACTTAGCATGAGGCTGGAACATAGGCAAAGCCCTCCTAAAGCATAGTGGAGGACCCTAGACTTCCAGGAAATCTCAAGAAAGCTCCAGTGATTCTTTGCTAGGAATGTGCTTTTTAGCTATAGTCACTGAACTGGTATGGAAGTACTTCAAAATGATTAATCAATATGTATTGAGCATCTGTTATGTAGTAAGCCCTCAGTATTCTTTTAAATTTCCCTAGTTTTATAAGGGCTCATTTTTTAGGGGTTGACTACATACTTCAGTAAGCACTTACTGTATGCCTAGTGTGCATAAATCCCAATGTGGTTTACTAGGATCCCTTGGTTAAGGGCAGTGCAGGTAGGGGATGCAGCACCATGACTAACATGACCCCTGCCTGGAGCAAAGGCATCTGTTGAGAGGAGATGGTAGATATGCAGATAAAGTAACAAAGTGATGGAGTGAAGGAAGCATCCTGGCAGGCAGTAAGTGAACAGGGTGGGGAGGTGAGTGCTGTTGAATACAGTAGCAATTGAGACAGAGGCAAAGTTCAGCATCCGTAGTCTAGTAGTAAGATTTAACATGTTGGATTCTTATAGCCCGTTGATTAGTCTCATAATTCCCATCTTCAAAAGGAATATTTGGAAGAATGCTTGGATCTGAGGACAGGCATACTTGTTGGGATGAATCGTTATTTTTTTGTAAATATCAACTTGAAATCATTTTTTATAAGAAAATAAACCAACATTATCCTTAATACATTATTTGTTGGTTTAGATGATTATTAGGTCTTTTTCAGATCATGTAGTTCATATCAGTGGTGATTTGCATCCTTCCTTACCTTTAGAAGGCATCTGAGGAATGTTGATTTGGTGCTGTAGTTGGATCTAGAAATTCCCCTAAAAGCCCATGTCTATGCTTGGCACTGTTGGGAAGCAGAGCCTCTGAGGTGGGGCTGAGGTGGACCTGGTCTTCAGATCATTTGAGGTGTGCCCTGGACGGAAATAGTGGGCTCCCAGCTCCTTACCCCTGGTCCTTTTTTTTTTTTTTTTGGTATTTTTTCTGGTACTGGGAATCGAACTCACGACCTCATGCTTGCCAGACAGGCGCTGTGCTGCTGAGCTAAATCCCCAGCATCCCCCTCATCCTTTTTTTGTTCCCTGATGAGGAGGGGAGCAGTTTTGTTCCACCACACACTGCTTGCCATGATGTTCTCTCTCACCACAAGGCCTCAAAGCAAAGACCTCAGTTGGTCATGGATTAGAATCTCCAAATCTGAACTAAAATAAAACTTTTTTCTTTATATGTTGAGTATCTCAGGTATTTGCTATAGTGATAGAAAACTAACACAGTGAGGATATCTTAATGCACTAGATAGCCTTGTTAGCTCCATCTTGTTCATGTGGGGGCCAGTGGGTTGATATTTTCATCTCTGTTACTTCTCTCACCTTTCTCAGACCAGTGCTATTTGGAACTTCCTTGTCCTAATTTCTCTTATTAATGTGGGATCCACAGAGGAGCTCAAGGTGAAGGCTCTGAGGTGAAGGATATGTCACTGCACGATGGGCAAGCATAACCCAGACTCTTGTGTGTGATGAATAAAGAATTGAAAAGCATACACCCAGTGGCAAATGGAAAGCAGTTATGTTTATTGATGATCATGGGAAGGTGTGCTCAGGGCAAGGGCACACTAACAAAGACATGGCACAGAAAAATGGTGTTGGGGTGACAGGAAAAGCACTGCACAGATCATAGCACACAGCAGTGGCCAGACTCCAATAAATAAGGTTCTGGGATTTAAAACGTATGCATGGTAGCCCAGGTACTTCTCCATGAATCTCTAGGTGTGACTGAAGGAGTGATCCACGGGGTACTGAGTCATCGTAGGGACCCTCAACACACATAACTGTCCCAGAATTCACTCCTGTCTTAATTACATGCAGATTTATGAACTCTTAATGAGTCTGGAGTGGGGTGAAGGCATCCGAAGGCCAGGCTAGGAGATCCAACGTGTGCTCTCACCTAGTACCTCAGCCATCTCCTAAGTTCTTGTTACTTTATTTTTTAATCTCTCTTAGGACATGGAAGGAGGAACGGCCATAGGGTTCTGTTTAAAATTAAATAGGTGTGTGGGGGGGGAGAGAATGACTTTCTCTGTTCCATTGTTTCTAACTGTACTAGATATAGAGCTGGTGAGAGACAAGGATAGAAAGATGAAGGAAGGAAGACGCCTCTCACAGCGTCTACCGCCTCCTGTTATTGGTGCTAGGGGTGGATTCCATATAGCCTGGTTCTTGTTCTACCTCTATACCTCTTCCCACTCCCTATAGGCTTGGTGCCTTGTCACTGAAGGGCTCAAGCTCTTCCTGATCTCCAGTCACAGCCCAAGTCTGGCAGGTAATTCCCAAGTCAGCCCTGGGCATGCGGGGAAGTCTTCAGCCAGCAGTGTGTGGAGTGTGGGGGCACAGGGAGGACGGGTGAGTGGGACAGCATTTTACTCCTGCCCTGTTCCCCATGCAAGAGCTGCAACTTTGCTTTGGGGAATAGTAGGCGCTGAGAAGGTGTTAAAGGCATATCACATGTCCTTAAGCCAGAAGAGAAACTTTTCAGAAGAAAAAAGCACGGCAGTGGATAAACAGGGAGATGAGGCGGGTAGAATTCCTTTGTGACACCCTAGAAACAGTTGTTTTACAATTATTACATGGCCAGCATCCCTGTCTCTTCACCTGTCCCAGCTTCTCCACTTCCTTCTCTGGAGAACCCAACACAAAATAGTCTCCTTCTCATCCACAGTAGCTGCGAACTTCTCCACGAGCTCTCTGGTAGGACCTGCCTGCAATTGCCATTTTCCTTTTTTCTAGTTTGCACTTCGGGCTTTGCGTTATGTTGGCAGATTCCCTCCTAAGCTAACTCCCTGATTGACACAGAAGAGGGATATTTGTTCTCACCATTCTGAGGTGTGTGTGTGTGTATGTGTATATTTCACTGGTAGGCAGAGTTCTGCACTTCTAGAATGTTCTATTAAAGTTCTTGAGAAGTGATTTTTAAACCATCAAAATTCATCTTTTTCTTCCTGGTTAGCATTTCAAACTCTCAATATTTGAGGCATACATTTTACCTTGAAACACTAAAAAATAATATTTCACTCATCATAAGACCTGTCTGAAGTCTGACCTTGGGCTCATTCACATGGATTGTCACTTTACTTGGATCCAGTTTCCTAATTGGACAGTCTGTTTTCCCATAACCACTGCTATGCATATGTGCATAGCTAATAGAAGTACAGAATGTTCTACATGCTGAGGACACAGAGCTTCTTTGACTTTGGTCCCTATTAGGAGAAAGTCTCTTCCATCACATACTAAATACATGCTTTATGCTCATTCCTTTACAAAGGTCCAATTTTATTATTTCAGTTTTCAGTAAAATCTGAGTCAACAAATTAATGGAGGTGAGATGGAATTTTGTTTAAGCACTCGTTTCTGAATGTCCCATATTTTTAAGACACTGATTTTTCCCTCAGAATTTATATCTTGGTCTCTCCTACTTCTTTTCAGATAGCCTGGATAAAACCTATTGTTTTGGAATGATTCTGGTAGAGAGTTAGTAATTTAGTCAACTCAGAGCTTTGTAAAAATAATCCAAAAAGTTCCTTCAAGCTCTGACCACTTTTAGTTCAAAAGAGCATGTGAATATTCTCTCACAAAGCTGTAGAGACATGATTTGTGGGGATATCACACTGGAAAGACCCCTGACAGAATTCTCACAACATTAGGGGAAATGTATGCATGGGTGATCTATAAGGCAGAATGCTCAGAAAAGCCATTTCCCTCTGATACGCCATTCTTTATTACTTTCTCTTATAAACACAGCACTTGCTCCTCCCACGAATGAGCAGTTCATTTACAACACACCAGTAAAATTTGGCCAAACCTGGGCAAGAGCTTCAAAACCAGGTGATTAAAATGGCTAGAGGAACACACCTGTTCTAATAAGGTTATTTTGGAGGAGACACCGGTTTAGGTTGTGGGACTTCAAGGTGGACTTGTTTGTGTAAAAGACATGGAAGGAGGATTTTGTGAATTTGCTTTAGCAATTTGCCCACCTTTCCTATAAACCTATTGTCATTTTGGAGGCTTATCCTTCATGTATGATTGAGAACTGTTATGTCAATATCATGACAAAAAGTAGTTCAGAAAACTGAAGAAAAGCTATATTTACAAACATCCCTCTGGGAGAATGGCAATACTGATTTTTCCCCCATATTCTCTCTCAGACTTTCTACCATCAGATTGAATTTGTTAAATTCTATCATTGACACTAACACCAATGAAAGGGAGCAGTTATGTTTATTTAGCACCTAGAGCCAATCTCAGTACAGAATGTGATTTTAAGAAGCACAGTTTAGTTAGAATTACTCTTTGACTTCAGCTTACTCAGTTTTTAACCTCTTTTGTGCCTACTCCTTTTTTGTTTTTTTGTTTGTTTGTTTGTTTTTCTCCGGTACTGGGAATCAAACTCATGACCTGGTGCTTGCCAGGCAGGCACTGTGCCGCTGAGCTAAATCCCCAGCACCCGCCCCCCCCCCCAGTCCTTTTTTGAACAAATCTAGTTTTGTTTTTTAAAAAGGCTCATGCCATTAGTGATTTCTCACATTAAAAGAAAAAATATAAAAAGTACTCCATTTGCGTAATCCAGATTGCCCGTGTGTGCAGATATCACTAGTGTTTATCACTGGAAGCGACCAAAGTCAGATTGTTTTTTAATATTAACGTAACAGTTGAAGAGATGGAGAAAACTGTAGTTAGTACAAATGGGCATTTAAAAAAAAAAAAAAAAAAGCGGAAGGTTTTCTTCCTTAGCAACATTTATAAAAACTGGTTTAAATTTTCAGCTAGACAAGAGCCTAATTTTGCTCACAATGTTTGCTAGCTTTGTTGCAAAGATTGCAGTAACTTGCATTTTTCAGGACAGCGCAGTGAAGCTTGCCTTTACTCTTTGTAGGTAGATACCACTCTGTCTCAGTTTACTGACCCCAACATTTACCTATGGGACGTCCATCACAGCAAGAGGCTTATTAAAGTGGACGGGGTTGTGGCCAAGAAGAGGAAATCCTACTGCGTTGATTTTGCTGCCATCCGGCCCCAGGTCGCCCTACTGCAGGAAATGCACGTCACACATTTTCACTTCTCCCTGGACTGGGCTTTAATCCTCCCCCTGGGGAACCAGTCCCAGCTGAACGGCACAGTCCTGCATTACTACCGCTGTGTGGTCAGTGAGCTGGTCCACGCCAACATCACACCCGTGGTGGCCCTGTGGCAGCCTGTGGCCCCCCACCAAGGCCTACCTAGTCCCTTGGCCAAGCAGGGTGCGTGGGAGAACCCGCGCACAGCCCTGGCCTTTGCAGAGTACGCCAGACTCTGCTTTGAGGAGCTGGGCCACCTCGTCAAGTTCTGGATCACGATGAACGAGCCGTACACGCGCAACCTGACCTACCGCGCAGGGCATCACCTTCTGAAGGCTCATGCGCTGGCTTGGCGCATGTACGATGAGACGTTTAGACCCAGCCAGAAAGGTAAAATATCCATAGCCTTGCAGGCTGATTGGATAGAACCAGCCTGCCCTTTCTCCCAAAAAGACAAGGAAGTCGCGGAGAGAGTGTTGGAATTTGACGTTGGCTGGCTGGCGGAGCCCATTTTTGGCTCTGGGGATTACCCACACGTGATGAGGGACTGGCTGAACCAAAGAAGCAATTTTCTTCTCCCTTATTTCACTGAAGAAGAAAAAAAGTTAATCCAAGGCTCCTTTGACTTTCTAGCTGTAAGCCATTACACCACCATCCTTGTAGACTGGGAAAAAGAAGATCCCTTAAAATACAACGACTACCTAGAAGTGCAGGAAATGACCGACATCACTTGGCTCAACTCCCCCAGCCAGGTGGCGGTGGTGCCATGGGGGCTGCGCAGAGTCTTGAGCTGGCTGAGGGTGAAGTATGGAGACCTCCCCATGTATATAATCGCCAACGGGATCGATGATGATCCACAGGAGGAACAAGACAAGTTGAGGATGTACTATCTGCAGAATTATATAAATGAAGCTCTAAAAGGTAAGTGGTCCCCGAAAGTACAATGGTCGATGGCCGTGTCACCAGGGGTCATGGTATGTGATGGAAACCCTGCAACAGGGACCGCTGTTACCCTCAAGGAAAGGCTAGCCATTCCTGGCCACTCAGAAGCAATCAAAGAGATAGCCAGTCTTCTCAGGACTGAAAGAGTTTAGGGCAAAGTAGAAGACTAAAAATCCCTAGCAGCTGTTGCAGTCTGCCAAAGTACAGATTCTCCAGTTTTCCAACTCAGATGGATCCACAGCCACCTTAACTGCTTTATGTACATAAATACTTAAACCAAGTGCATTATAGTGGGTTTAATTATATAGCCAGCTGTCTGACGGAGCTCCATATTTTTCTTGATATTTGCCTATTTGTCATTGCATAAAAGAAGGCTTTTCTAATTAAATCTAATTGAATCTGAAGCTTTATAAAATGGTATTGAAGTTTTCCCTGATGCACCCAGGCTATGTACAGGAATGTCTTGTATATAAAATATTTTAGTAACTCCTGCCCTTTCTTTTTTCCAGCCTACGTACTGGATGGTATCAATCTACGTGGATACTTTGCTTATTCACTTAATGATCGTTCAGCTCCAAAGTTTGGCTTCTATCGTTATGCTGCAAACCAGTTTGAGCCCAAACCATCTATGCAACTTTACAGGAAAATTATCGATAACAATGGTTTCCTGGGCCCTGAAACTCTGGGAAGCTTTTGTCCAGAAGAATATACCGTGTGCACTGAATGCAGCTTTTTTCACACGCAAAAGTCTTTACTGGTTTTCATTGCTGTTCTACTGCTTGCTTTTATTGTTTCCCTTTCGCTTATATTTTACTACTCTAAGAAAGACCGAAGAAGTTACAAATAGCCTGAACGTTCTCCCTCATTTGTTTTGAGATCATTATGTGCACACATCAGCTGTGAACCATGTGCACCTCTCAGTGTTGTGAAACTAAATTTCATACATTTGGCCTCCGGAAAACCTTTGTGAGGCATATGGCGGAGGTTTTGAAATGGGTGTAGTTTACTGTAAAGCACTGAAAAGGAGAATATTGTCTGTATTTCTTCTCCTTTTTTGTTGATTAAGAAAATGACAGGTGTCAAAATTTCTATAACCTTCTGCAGGGAAAGTGTGAAAAATGGTAACCTTTGTACAGAAATGTGAATGACAAGATTAGGAATACAGTGGCCCCTTGAGTTTCAACCCGCCTGACACATGAACACCTTGAGTTATGACCAGAATTTTAGTTTTAGCTTATGACCAAAGTCACGAGTTAGGACCTGAGTGCTGGCCGCTTGTGCTTCCAGATGTTCTCAGACAGAGTGAACCATTAAAGAGCTCTGGAAGGAACATCACAGCATCCTTTCCCGAGTGGGGCTCATTGAGAAATCCTGGGCCAGTGCCTCTCCAAGGATGCTGAGAGCTGCCTGGGTACAGGGGAGAGATTGGCAGGCTGTGTGGAGGAGCCTGAGTCTCCAACTGGCAGCTTTAGTTACACCCAGCCCTCGGGAATGAATGGAGTTCATAAGTCAAGGTTCCACTCTGTTTTTATCTGTCCTTATTTTCAAATTGCAAGCATTAGAATAAAAGGTTAAGTGCCAAGTCTCAACTGCCGGGATGGTGCCTGATGGCAATGCCCCTTTCTAACTCAGTTTCCTAGGAAGACAGTGGCAGGACACACAAACAGGAGAGACAGCAAAGTGGCCCTAGGCTGGGACGTTCCTTTTAACAGCTATATTTCTGTTGAATGCTGCTAATATTATTTTACCTGATTAATGGTATACTTAACAAAGTGTGCAGGTTTTTATTTTGTTTCTATGAAGTTTTGAAGCACTTTCTAAACCTTAGTTCCTGGGGGTGGGTGTGTGCATAGGAGATTCTCACTGAATGTTTTCCAAACAAAGAAAGACAGACAGAAGAAAAGAAGAAGAAAGAAGACATGATTCATAAGAGGATGGGTTCTTCAGGAAGTATGAGGCAGTTATGAAATGCAGCGTAGTGCACTGGCTTGAGGTAGAGAAAAGAAGGAAGAAATGTTTATGATGAGCAACATTATGATTAATTTGATTACACATCCTTTGTTTTGAGCAGACCTTGGAATGAATGAGATGACCTTTCCTGAGAAAATAAGGATAAAATAATAACTCATCCTGTAAAGAGTGATTCCATTTTTTTGTACTTCAGACTATGCCATAAATTTTCTGAATTGATAGTTTTAAAACTGATTTTCGAAAGCAGTCAGGTCTGATAACACTGGAAGCCTTGCTTTTGTGATCTCTGAGATTCATTCTGTACTTTTGCATATGTGGAAGTAGCTTTGAACTAGTTTTTAGTTGAACTTTTACACGGAAACATGCCACTGATTTCAATAGAAAGGGCTAACGAAGTCTACTCTTTTAATGCCCTTTAAATAAGTCTTGCTGATCTTTAGACAGGGGAAGTCTCTCTATTACACTGGAGTTGTTTTATAGACAAGTCAATATTGTATCAGGGATGATAAGCCAATCATAATAGTCATAAATAACCTTGCTGACACAGGGTCATAGTGTATGATAAAATATTGTACTGTATTATATATCATCTGGAGAGGTGGTATGATTTTTTTCCATGAAAGATGAGCTTTTAGTGGTATTCTTTGTAAAACTAGACTAATTACTAAAATCAGACACTAGAAATACAATCGTTTATTTTATGTATATATTTTTCTGAATGTAAGAGTAATATATGTTAATTGTAAAAAACTAAAAAATAGAAACTATATGTAAAGAAAAAAATAAAAAAGTATAATTTTACAATCCAAAGGTAGTGATGATTAATGTTTCCTATGTATTGTTTTTTACAAAGAGTGAGACCATATTATGTTTTTTGTTTTTTTTCTGGTACCGGGAACCGAACTCACGACCTTGAGCTTGCCAGGCAGGTGCTGTGCAGCTGAGCTAAATCCCCAGCCCTATATTACGTATTGTTATGGTTTGTGTCTAGATGTACCCCTAAAGCTTCATGCAGTAATGGGGAATTGCTTTTCAAAGGTGGTTGAATCTAGAGTTTGTGACTGATTTATGGTCCAATGCTGGGATTAAGGATTTGAGTGCTACACTTGCCCTAGAGCAGGTAGACTGCACACAATATAAGGGACACAGTCTTCTTGCTCTCTTGTTGCTTTTGCTGTCTCCTGCCACCATGAAGTTACCCCTCTGCTGTACGCCACCCTGCCTTGAAGCCAGCGATCATGGACTGCAACCTCTGCAAACAGTGAGCTAGATAAGTCTTTCCCTGTTTAACTTTGGGTGTTGGGTATTTTGTCTCAGCAAGGAGGGAAAATTAACTAAGACACATATAGTTACCTAGCTTTAATAATTATTATGTAAATTTCTTTAATCATTAGTCTCAAAAACATGCTTTTTAATAGTTGTAGAGAATTCTACTTTCTGGAAAATACCATAACTTATTTAATAATTCCTATTTCTTGGGCTTGTTTCTTATTAACTATTGCTAAATAATGAATTTGCTTCAAAGTAATTTTCTTGCACCAGGTAGATGGTGGCATACCATGCAATCCCAGCACACTGGGAAGCTGAGGTAAGAGGATCGGAAGTTGGAGGCCAGATGGTTTCAAGTGGTTTGAAACCATTTAGCAAGATGGTTTCAAAAACAAAGAAACTAAAAAGGACTGGAGGTATAGCTCAGTGGGAAGGTGGGAAGGTGGGAAGGTGCCTGGGCTAGTCCATGCAGGTGAGCTGAGAGAGAATTTCAGGCACTGAAAGCAAATACAGGAAGAGCTGAAAGGACAAGACGGACATGACATTTGAAGATGATTCAACTCAATTATTTTGAGAGCCTGATGTTAACTTTGAGTCTCAGGAGACCTTCGGGGGCTGGGTGAAAAGAGAGAGAGGGTGCCTTTCAGATGAGGCCTGGGAACTCAGAGGCAGGCAGGGAGCAGCTGCAAGAAGCATCTGTCTGGTCTAGTGGGGCTGTCTCAGCTGGGTTTTTTTTTTGGTCTACTTGAATAGCACACCTTGGGGATTTATAGAGAACAGAGTTTTATTCAGCTCACATTTTTTAGAGTGGGAAGCCAATATCAAGGTGCTCATCTGGGGAGGGTTTTCTTACTTCATCAAAACATGGTGGGAGACGGCCAGCTTGCCAGCATAGGTCTCTCTTCTTACTCGAAGGCTGATAATTTCATCATGGGAGCCCCACCCGCCTGACCTCATCTAACTGATTACCTCTCAGCCTGACCTCCAAGTATCATTAACACATGACTTTGGGGATAAAGTTTCCAGCATATGAATTCCTGGTTCACACTCAAACCATAACAGGGAAGAGGCACTCTTTTCTTTTTCTTTTTAAGTTCAGGGCTGGGGGTTGAACCCAGGACTTCCCATAGGAGGCACTCTGCCATTGAACTCTTTTTTTTTTTTTTTTTTTTTGAGTACTAGGAATTGAACCCAGGGCCTTCACACTGAGGTACATCCCCAGCCCTTTTGCATTTTTTGAGACAGTTTCTCACTAAGTCATTGAACTGTCCAGGCTAGGGTCAAACTTACAATCTTCCAGCCTCAGCCTCCTGGAGTGTTGGGATTATAGGCGTGCACTGCTACACCTGCATCCACTTTCATTTCCTATCTGGCTTGTTAGAGCACTGCATACTTTCTACTCCAGTCCTCTGCTTTGAGCCTTTGGTCTTTCTTCCTGATATATATATATGATACAGATATCTTTCTCCTAGAACCCCTCTACCTCTAATTAAATTGTGGCATCAAATTTTATAGGGGATTTAAATGGTAAATTTGTAGTTCCTAGAGGCCTTGAGGCTATTTCCCACCATAACTGTAATTGCCCTATGTTGACAACTCATTCCTTTGACCAAAGTAGACGCTCAGTTCATTTTGCCCTGATTTGGAGGGATGGGTTTTCAGGTCCATTAGGGACATTTAGCATTTTATTTTTTTTTTTTTTTTTAGTTTTTACTTTTACAGACAAAAATTAGAATCCACTAAAGCCTTGGAAGCTTTTCTTTATATTACTTGTAACAGTGCTATCCAACAGAGATATAGCGTAAGCTGTATATTTAATTTTAAATTTCTACTAGTCATATTAAAAATAAATTTTATTAATTTTGTTAAAATTTAATTTCCCCAATATTCTCAAAAATCAGAATTTCAACCTGTCATTAATATAAACTTACTGAGATATTTTACGTTTTGTGGGCTGCACCCTAGAAATCACATTTTACACGTGTAGCACATTAAATACTCAATTATCACATGTGGCTAATAGCTACGGTACTGAGTACCACAGCACATTAAGTAGATTCATAGTGTAACTAAGCTGTCCAAAATATTTAACACAGTACAAGAATAAATTTTTTTCAAGGAGTCTTTTAAGCTTAATAATATATAAGCTTAAAAATGCAACAATCTATAGAAATAACTGACATGTAACTTTACAACTGAGTTAAACTATTGGTTAAAGCAAATATTTTAAAAAGGTCTGTGTGCAAGGAGAAATTTTGGTAACTTAATTTCTGAATGTCATACTAATTCAGGTAGAATTAAACTGCTTTGCTTTTCATGTATCTATAAATTTAATATTTTTTCTCAAATTGTCTTATTTTGAACTAATAGAGTAATGGTACTGTTCTATAGAAGCTCCATTTTATATTTCATGTTGAGCAATGCTGCTGGAAATTTCTCTTTGAGAAGGAAAATATTAATTTGGGTGACTTTGATTATCCGTGATGTGCAGAAAGCAGAGGCCAAGTCTTTTCTCTTTTTCCCCCAGATGCTTAATACATTGTCATATACATAATCCATTAAAATGTCAGTTCATTGAATAAATGAATGAAAGGATAAATGAATACACAGCATTAGATCTTTGCCTTTACCTATGTCCAGAGAATGGATAGGGACCAGCTATCAATTAGAAACTTAGCTCAACCTTATATATTAAGAGGGGAAAGAGATGTGCTTACTCACACTAACCTTTGATAACCTCTCTTTCTAGGTAGGTACATAGTGAAATTAACAGCTACCCTAAGTTGTAATTCTTAGACTAATCACTAAGTGAGAGGATTATAATGCTTTTCTACAAGATTATTATTATTATTTTTGAGACAGAGTCTCGCTATGCAGTTCAGGCTGGCCTTGAGCTCACTTTGTAGCCTAGGCTGGTCTTGAACTTGCAATGATCCTCCTGCCTCAGCCTCCTGTATGCTGGGATTACACGCGTGCATCACCATGCCTCGCTTTTTCTACATTATTTACGCAGTCTCTCAACTGGTTAGTCATGTGTCTGTTTCTAGTGAGATTTTTTTTTATTTGCAAATAACAGAGGGCTCATCTTGTAGGGGAACTCTTCATGTCACCCCCAAACACTTACAATTTCCTAGAGTATGTAACTTTTCTCCAGATTCATTGCATTGTTTCATTTTTATGCCATTAAATATTGTTGGATTTTTTATTGATTGCAGAATTTCCTACAGTATTTAATTTCACATATTTCTGGCAAATTGTTTGAAATTAAGGATTAAGAGACAAGAAAAACCACAAGGAAGCCTGAGTGAAGGGTGGAAATGTAACTAATGAATGTGGTAAGATACTTAAAATAAAGCAAAATTTCATTTCATAACTTGTTGACTGACATTTAAGCCCTTCCCTCACTTTTTGATCCAGTATGTTACAGAAGAAAAGAATGTGAACTTACACACTGAGAGAGAAGGGCATAGGGAAAATAATCAGCAAGACTTAGGTTCAAAATTACAACAAAACTACATGTTTTTGCATAGCCCAACCCTGCATGTTCTCAATGTCCTCATCTTTGAATTAGGAGTAATGGTGTCTACCTTAGCACAGTGCTGAACACAGATCCGTATTCCATAAATAATGCACCTATCCCAGACATTTTTTTCAGATGAATTCCCACTTCATCTACATAATATTTCTAGTTAATTAGATATTCAGAGCTCAGTATGATAAAACCAGGGACTATTACAGTCAAAATGATTTACATTGGAGCCCTTTAGTTGTTTTATTTATACCTTTGAATATACATTTTCACAAAATCCTTTGGTAAAACTAAACTACAAAAGAACAATCAATCCCCATGTTTACTTAATACCAAATTATTTTCTTGGATTATAAATGATGGCGTGTTAGCTGTCGTGGCTATGACTAGTAAGTAAAATAAACAACTTAAAAGAAGAAAAATGTTTATTTTTGCTCACGGTTTCAGTCCATGGTCACTTGACTATTTTTGGGCCTGTGGAGGAGCAGAACGTTGTGGTGGGGAGCATGTGGGAGAGCAAAGCCAGGAAGCAAAGAAAAGGAAGAGAAAAAAAAAAAAAGAGGCAGGGATTGCAATATCCTCCGCAAAGGGCACATCCCTGCTTAGTGGCTCTATCTAGATGTCCCCGCCAAAGCCTCATGTGGTCAGAGGTGGGGCTTTTCATAGGTGGCTGGAACTAGGGTATGTGATGGTGGAATTAATGGTGCAATCTAGGATTAAAGGTGCCCCACCCTGAGTGTGAGTGCTATCAGACCAAAAGGCAGATAGCCCAGGTGGAATATAACAGAAAGAGGGCTGTTGGTGCAACTACTTTTCCTCTATGATGCCCCTCTGCCATGCCATCTTCTTGCCTTTGAGCCAGCTGACTATGGACTGAAACCTCTACAAACTGTGAGTCAAATAAACCTTTCCTCCTTTGAGTTTCGATGCTGGGTATTTTGTATCAGCAATGAAAAAAGTAAGGAAGCCACCAGTTAGGCCCCATCTCTTGAATATTCCATTACTACCAGAG